CAAAGATACTTTCTATTACTTTACATTTATCCGACTATTCTTTGGAAACAATTATTGTGAAGTATCATAATATTTGAAATTTGGAATATTCCAAAAAAAGTTCTATATATTTTGTAGGTAGAGCATGGTTATATCATACCCTCAGCGAAGGCAGCTTCGAAAGTTATTTAGCCTGCTTACTACGGGATACCAAAACTTTAAAGAAACAGTACGTTACACATGCGCTTGTCCGCGATGCCGATAAGACAAACCAACTTGTAAATCTCCTTGCTGGTCTAGAAAATGTGTCCTTCACTTTACAATTAGTATGTATATTAAAATACCATTTAAATTAATTAAAAAAATTAAAAATATTTTTGTTATCTTGCGCGAGACAACTCAACGTGGTGTTTTATGACAATTTATTTTCTTATATATCGTTGTTTGCAACTGTTGGGTAATCTTCTTTCTTTTATTTTCTAAGATAGCAATATGTTGACTCAAATTGGATAATGTTTCCCTTTAACCTGTTATGAAGTTTTTATTTAACTTCCCCCATGCAGATATCAATATCACCCCCTAGTTACAATTATCTTGGTAATAAATAATATATGTCTTGTTGTAAAAGACATACGTGCGGATATATCTGTTTTTATAAATTCAAGGGTCAATATGTTATCGCTGTATATAGTATATTTTTATGGTTAGAATATGATACACGTATAGTTTGTTCTTGGAAAAGTTTTGGTAAATAAAAAAAAATAAAAAAATAAAAAAAAAAAGAAAAAGGATCTATATATCAAGAATAGTTTTGTAAAATAAAATGATGATTTTAAATATAGGATGTGACATACTTGGACATCTGCAATTATATGCCGCAAAGGCCTATGAGCATAAACTCTTCTGGGACCGTATTATCTTTACATCTGAGGTCTTCTAGCGTATGTTCGAGCTTAGCTTCTCCCGGCGATAGCGGCGTTGCATTTGACAGTGATATGGATCTCGCGAATGAAACCGACGCTAGCAGTTATAAAGAAGTAAGTTCTTTATGTTTTTAATTTGAAACTTGCATTTATATTGACACTGACACACCCATTTTAGGAGGACTCTTCGATGGATGATATTCCAGATTATCGAAATAATAGATACAAGGTTATTATCAACAATTGCATACAAGAGAATAAAAATTTTAGCTCAAGCGATTCAAGCGAGGATGGAAAAACACCGATGCAATCTCCTGCGGTTACAAAATTTCAAAATGTGATTATGACGAAGAGTGACATCGCGAATCAAAATTTAACCAGAAAGCTCGAAGATAATGAACTCAATTGTTCAAGTTTGGATACTTTAAAGGGTTATGATTATTACAGCAGAAGCCTTGATACCGTTCACTTGGACGCGGTGAACAATAAATGTGACAATGGAATAAAAGATATAAATAAAAGGAGCAGCTATTACGGGGATGGCAGCTATAGTTTCAAGAAGAACATAGATCCTCGTAATTCCTACGTGATTAATAATGATACAAATCTCTTGGAATTGAGTATGACCATTTCTGATTGCGACAATATAGAGCCTCCTTATGGTATTCTGAACACCCTCAATATGACAGATGCGAGCATTTTGTCAACATCAAGCTCCGAAGCCATAGTACAACGTAGACAACGTAAGAAAAAACGTGAAAGCAAAAAACGCGTTAGTTTTCACGAAGATATTCTAAAAACAATGAAATTAGATGACGATAGCTATGCGGATTTCTCTATGAGCTTTCTAACGCCTAACTCGATTCAAAAAAAGGACGCTCAGAAGGGACGTTACAGTTGGTGCGGACACGGAGATTCTCCTTACATTCAAAAGAGTACCAATACAAGAAACGCGCATTCCGATTATTATTCCTTCTCATCGTCGTCGAGCGTATTCGACAGTGATATTGAAAAGAAAGGAACACAAAAGTTATGTAACCAGTCATTGTGCCAGAAAAATTGCAAATGTTCTTGCGATCTATCTCTACCAGAACGTGGTTCGCCAGAGGGCCAAGAAGATCCGGCTAAAAGTTTAAGACCAAAGATGGAGATAGAATTGGAAGAGAACGAGGCACAAGAGGCATACATCGTTGAAAAGCAGTACGGAAATATTGTCGAGGATCCACCGGTAAAAATAGAAATGCCGAGACCACAGAATTCAAAGAAATATGCCAGTTCTAGCGATTGGTCCGACGTAGAGAGCGTCACAACTTCCGATTTAGAAGAACGTAAGATGATTAATAGGCATTTGGCTTCGCCTTCTAAAAAACGTAACATGACCTCGATATTAACGGGTGAAAGCAGTAGTAAATTATTAGCACCTCCTTTACGACAAGCACCATCGAAAACGTCATTGTTGAGTAGATTTTTGAGATCTATTACGGAGAGGAAATTTGAAAGTAAAAAAACGAAGAAACCACAGAAGTCTAATCCATTGTACATCAAAGGAATTAAAGCAAATTACGATTCGTTTAAGGATTTCAATGATAATCTTGATAGAGAGATACAAGAAAATGTTGCTGCGGAAAAGCAAGAGTTTAGCGGAGAAAAAATCAGCTTAAAATTACGAGAGACCTTTAAAAAACATATTTACAGAGACAAAACGGAGGAATTGTATAAAGTTTATAAAGTTAGAAGTTCTTACATGACGAACGGAGAGAGCAAGCCGATGATCGCTTTATTAACCGACAAAACGTTATATTTAACCGGCTCGAAGTTGGATCATTCTTACAGTAACCAATTTGTAATTCCTTACAACGAGCTAGACGTTATAATGGTAAAAGTATAATTGTGTGTGCGTGTGGTGTGCGTGTGCGTGTGCGTGTGCGTTCGCGTGTGCGTGTATATTATTTATAGTTTCTGTAATTAAATAATAAATTCTGACAGTAAAGTATCAAATTTCTTTCAGATTGGACCAAATGCACAAACGATTCTTATCTCTAATGCCGATTATGAGATGCAGTATCTATTTTCTACTGGCAGTTCGCACACCACCTCTGAATTAATTACACACTTGGAAATAGCCATGAGAAGATCACCGTCGAAACCCCGATTGCCGGCTGTTAAAGAATTAAGTTATGAAGACATGCATATTTTGAAACAATCGATATTATCCGATACTGCTGTACATCCTGTAAGTATATTATATTATTGGCTAAGCAATTTATTAGTTTTTTTTTTTTTTTTTTTCTTTTTCTCTTACTTATTTGAATTTAACTTTTAGGATGAAAAAATAGAACATTACAGCCTTATTTATATGGAGGATGAGCACATGTCTCCTCCAAGTACACCGTGTGGCCCAACCAAAGAAGGCGATCTTATGTTTAGACCACACACTTATCAGCATATACATCCTAATGCACCAATAAATCCTTGGGAAGCTGGATATTTTGTTCTTAAAGGTGGTGTAGTTTACATGTTTACAGATTTGAATCAACGACTTCCTAAACGTGCCATCCCGCTGAAGGGTGGCCTTTGTCAAGGTTGCAGAAGAATTCCCAATTCACATCGACCTCATACGTTCGAAATACTTTTGAAACCGAATAAAGCATTTCAATTTGCTGCTCCCGACGAATATGTTGCTTCCGAATGGTTGCAAAGTTTCGTGCAAAGTGCGTCTGGTTTGTTTGATTGTTCTGACAAGAGAGAGCCTATGCCCTGTAGTCTTGTAACGACTACAAGACATCTAGTTGCTATGAAAGAAGTATATCCAGGTAGTCAGCGCAATCAAACGTTATCATGTGCTTCTGTGGAAGACTTAACAGCTTTCAGAGTACCCTTACCCGAACAGTCTTGGTGTATATTGGTAATTATATTAAATTATCTATTTTTATTTTACATTTTTTTCTCTTCTTCTTTTTATCTTAATAATTTTTCGAGCGCTTATGATATTTCAAACGATTAGGAATTCGCATGTCGGGAGGTTCATGAGAATAGCGGTGATTGGGTGATATACTTTACCAATTATACCGAGCTCTGCACTTTTAGAGAGATTTTACAAACATTATGGGCAGATGCGGATTTGGTACGATCCATCATCCATGTGATATGTAACATTACATTCTTTAATTAACAATTATTTAATACTTCATTATCTAATTTCAGGGTGAATTTCCTATGGTTACGCTTCCTCCAGAAGATAAACTTCATCGACGCTGTTCGGATGCTAGTAAAGATTTAGAATATGCTTGGCAATATTTATTACCGTCAATGGTCGAATAAACACTAAGACCTATGAATACACCTTACTACACACGATAGAAATCCTTAAGAGAAATATTTTACTTTATTCTCGTGATATAAAGGAAAGATCGAAAAATTGCATATTGATAACCTACAAGGTAATGTTGAAGGAACGTAAAATATAATGAATTTTACGTTCAATGATATAATAGATTATACATTTAAAATGCTGTGTTATTCTATTCCTGTGAAGTATACCATACAGCAACTAAATTTCAATGTATGTGTTATATTTTAGTTTTATTAATTAACCAGAAAATTTGTCTAATGAATTGAATTGTTAGGTTGCCTGATTTGAATAGATTAGTAATTCTAAATGATGTTAATCGTGCTATGCACAAAACGGTGCAATATATTGTCTCTAGTATAAAATTTTGTGATTATTTGCTAGTAATTTATATTGATAAATGAATTGTAATATAATGGCAATTGTGAAGGGTTGTGTTGTATCACATTGTATGAGTGTCTATGTACTCACATTTATCCAAAATGATAGGATAATATGCATTAACTACAATTATCTTTGAGACAATGTTCATTGAAAGAAAATCGTAAGCTTAGATTAACTTCGCAAAATAATCTAAAAATAGTACTCTGTATACTGCTTATACAATGAGTATACAATAAGTATGATTAACATTCCTAGTGCAGGTACAGGTAACAGAGCTTTCTAATTTTATTCTTACAATCGTACCTTCTGATTTAGATACGCCATTGTACAATATCTTAACTTTTCATTAGATTATGATTTTTCACGAAGATTTGCCCTCGAAACATTGAAAGTGTAAAGTTACACATATGATCTCAAACATATTATGTTTACGCTATTGGATTAGATGGTTTAAGAGACTTCACGAGTCATTATACAATTTGTAATGTTAAAATCTTGTGAGGTACCGTGGCAAGACAAATAATAAAACAGTTGTATATTATTAAAATTACATACATACAATTTTTGTTCGATCTAACGAAATAATAATTATATTATAGAGTACATCTATTCCTAAAATTATAAACGACTATATTACGATTAACAATTCACTAAAATGCACATGTACCTTCGTCGAATTCGTTCGAAGTAAGTTGTGTTGGCAGCTTTTTTATTTGTGATTTAAAATAATTAATAGCCCATAGCTCTATAATTTCATAACTTTTATAAGTTTATCTATTGAATTTATTATTGACGCATTATAATTAAAATTCTTACTTCATCGATAGATTTAATAATATAATTTGATTTATATGACATATAAATCATAGTAGTATTAATTTATACATTGTATTCCATTTCTTCTTGTAGACTATTTTCATTTATGTGGAAAGCATATAATGATAGATTTTTTACATATTACAATTAGCATCTAATATAAATATCAAATCTGTATACTTTCCACATAAATTTTTATTCGATAGAAATACTATAACAGTTAAAAGTTAATAAAACTATTCCAAACTAGTCAAATAATAAAGCTTGTTACATTCTACAATCATTGGTAAGAATAATTTTTCATTGACGTTAAAGTTTCGATCGGAACATATGTGACATCAGCGACAAATGTGGACAAAACATGAACTAATACAACCAAGTCCATGTTAGGACTTTTAATCGCGCTCAGACACCTACGTGAATGTTAGAAAAACGGTGGATTTTACACCGCGTTACAATCTGCGTTCAAGAGGTAATCTAATCGAATTTACGATTAGCAATAAAACTAAAAATCCTCTACTGAGCCCGCCGACCATTTTTTCCTTTCACTGATTATAATTCGCGATAGTCATTTATTAACGGAGGACGATCATTGAATTTACTTCGCGAATTATCCTTAATAAATATACAATCTGTGCGACTATTAAAAAAGCAATAAAAATTTTGCGAACAAACACTGATTAATCACTTGTTGTTCAAATACCGAAACGCGAACGAACGAACATTATACCTCTATTTCGTGATATAAACACTCGATCATATTATTGTTTCACGCGCGATGACTTTTTTGAAAAAGAACAATAAAAACAAAATTATTACTTCGATGTTCACTCGTCAGAGGACAAAGGAGAACTGATCCTGTGTATTCGTCAAAGTCAATAAAAAGACCGACATATTTATATAATGCAAGGTCAACTACCTCGAGATTAAAATTTTTTAAGTATTGGAATTTTATATCATTATTATTTAAGTTTCTCGTGCGTTATAATGTCTCAGCTTATGTACTATTGTTTAAATATTAATTAATTCATTTTACTTCGTGTACATTATAGAATGTTAAAATAGTATTAAAATTATCGAAAGTATTAATTTCTAAGTCTTCACGTCTATGAAGACAGAGCTACGATGCTTACTCTCCAAAATCCAAAAGAAAACATTGTTTCGATAACAATCAAAGTCCGTTCGTTTCTGTTGACGTAAACAGACAATGGTCGTACTTTTCATTGATATTAGAAGATGGCAACGGTTCGGAGTTCAATATTTAATCGTATTGAAATGTTAAGATAAAATTATTTCATATTTAACGCGTAAAAAGTAGAATTTATTAAATACCTAAATGTACAATAGAGTAATTGATGTAACAGAAGGTAATTACTTTTATTAATATACAATAAAGTTGTTATAATTTACAATTAATTAAATTATTATAGGTTATACTTTCATAAAATAATGATTATTGCATTAAGATACAAAATGTCCTTGTGATTTTTTATAGCGTTTTGCTTTTTCTATATCTACAGATGGATATTTCTCTTTGAATGCATTAATATCCATATTTGGGAATCTTCTGAGCAAGACTAAAGCTTGCTGAAAATCGCGGCTAAATGAATGAAAAAACAAAATTAGTTTAACAGATATTAAATCACATATAATAGACGAAATATAATAAACGTACTTTCTTGCTTTCCGTTTAATATTCCATAATTTTTCTCTATACAATCGTAGAAATTTGCGTACTGCATAACCCTGATATCCAAAGAAATGTTTTTTATACCATTTGCTGTTCATAAATTGTGGTATACGATATTCACGCATACGATAATAAAATTTATAACCTAGAAAAAAAAAAAACAAAAGAAAAAGGAAAACATTGGAAAATTGATTTCGATCTGATCGAAAATATGAATGAAACTTTTGAAATAACATACCAAGCGCATTGTATACAAATCTCCCTGGACGTTCTCCTGTTTCTCCAGTTTCAAGTAAATGATAAGCTTTATTTCTTTCACGAATTACAGATTCTAAATTTGACATACTCATTTCAACTTTATCTATTCGTTCAGGATTTGGAAAAATCTTATATTTTCTTTTGCATGCTTCTTCCATCGTTAAGAGCATATTACGCTCCTTTAATAACACGAACCTGTAATTTCTTGAATTACATTTGGAACTTATTTGTCTAGGTTTGACAGTCAAAAGAATAAATTTACCATAACTTGTGAAGATCTTCATTACTTTTTAATCTTAATTCATCCATCCTCCATGAACGTCCAACTTTTACTTCATCTTTACCCCAATTAATTGTGTCATCAAAGAACTCCATTAAATCATATTTTGTTGATGAAGCATGCAATAGTGCACATGGTTGCATAGGTAATCTATGTAATTATTAAAAAAATATAACAATCGGAAAAGATTATTCTATATATTATAATGGAAATTATAATTAAACGAATGAAATACGTTCAAACGATTATATGCAAACCTTCGAATAAACCTAGTGTTAGAAACTAAATTAATATTATTGGATAATGATAAGTTTGTAATAAGTTTTGTCACATTGTTCACCAATTTTGAAATTTGTACAGCTTTTGTTAAAGACGCCATTTTTCATTAAATTCTAAACTAATCATTTATTGAGGAAGACATTAATCCATATTGATTTAGTAAATAATTTATACAGCTGGTGGCGCTACTGTAGAATCGTACGAACCAATCGCAAATCGTTTTCGATGAACCGTTCTTTCAGCCAATCACGACGTTGCTCATATATTTCTCAAATTATAAGACGTAACTGTTGTAAGTGAATAATTTATTATTTCCTTTTTTATTTTTTATTTAATACTTCGCACATTTTACGAATAATATTACGAATAACTTATATAAAATAATGTATTAATGCAAGTTTATCTGAATTTTCGATTCTATGAATAAGAAGTTCATGGAGAAAAGGCGGCAGAATATCTGGTAAAATTAAATATCATAATAATTATAATATTTATTATCACAAACTATGAGTTAAATCGTACAATAATGTAAGAAAACTAATAAGGATTCTTTTATAAATTGCTTTTTTCTTCGTGCACACTTGATTAACATCCAAGACGTTAGTTCGTAATGCGATCCAGAGAGATAAAACTTTCGTTTCATTTTGCAATGAAATGTCGCCATTTAAAAGATCACTAATTGATGGTATTCACATAAAGACCGTGTTTAGTCACGAACAGAACGAATACCCATATTCATAATTAAATTGATCATTGAGTATACCTTTCTACAAATATAAACATTCATATATTTAAAATGCATAATGCGTTCTTGCGTTCAAATATACTTAAGAAAATATTATAGAGATTATTATCCTCGACGATAAATTGGTCAGAAAAATCGATAAAAGGCACCTTTCGACAGTGAATTCGCTTAAAATTAGATAAAAATTATATATTGCTTTAAAAAACTATCATATATATATATACAAACGTGACCTAATAATATTATCAGATATAGATATAAATTTTGCCTTTTTTTTTTTTATTTTTTATTATCTTCTTTTTCTTTCTTTTTTATTTCTTTTTTTGTTATTTTCCTATTTTCATGATCATTTAAAAGTGAAGGTGCTCTCATTTATATAAAACTTCTTCGAAAATATACTCTTATCTATACATACGCATATACTCTATGTGCGTATATCAAGTATGTATATTCTAGAGAAATGAAGAAACTACGATCAAAGAATAAGCTGTTGCATCTTGTCTTTATCGTATTCTTCAATGATTTTGGAATGTACCAAGGTGAATGCCATGCAGAAAATACGGATTCGAAAGTAAACGATTAGGATGATTTACTTCTTTGCATTGGCTCTCAATCAATAAGACTGTAGTTTCAACATTACTACTACATGAAAAAACTGATCGTTTGAGAGTGATCTTCGATTTGACTTTTCTTCGACTAAGAAAATTACATACTTAAAAACAATATTATTGTAATTGATCTAACGATAAAAAGAAGAAAAAAAAAAAAAAAAAAAGAAAACGAATTCTTAAACAATAACAAGATATACCACATGCTGCTAAAATCACATAAACGCTGGACACTCAGGCTAAGTTACCCGTCCCCTTCGATTCTTACATTTGACCGTAACGATTAACAAGTATATATCAAACGCTTTCGTTAAAGATCCTACGCGATAATAAAAACGCATAGATTTTATAATGTACGCGACGATGTAATTCGCAAGACGTTTGACTATTATAATATATATATATATATATATATATATATATATATATATATATATATATATATTCAGCTTACATTGTAGTTCATTTTGACCGTAGAGAAGATATCTCGAAAGGCATTGTTTAGAACTTGCCAATGTAATAAACAAAATGCGTATCGTCCTCCGGATCGTCGTTCGTTAGTCCAACAAATGCGAGCGTCTCACTCAACCTTCGTGAATTCATTTACCTTGGTTCCTTTATAAGTAATTCATAGTTTTCATTCATTGATGTCTCTTGTAGGAACGATAAGACCTTCAGCGTTGTTCTTCCTCAAGACTACATCGTTCGTTTACGAGTGATATGATAAAACCTATTTGAATGTACTAGCCGATGAATAAAATGTATGTAACTTATTGTAAATTTCGCAAAAAGGACACGTTTGTCATCGTCTGAGCAAACGTCTAGCTTGTTACGTAAACGTTTAGCTTATGTATGGACTTTCGCCGTGGCTCGTGTTTACTGTAGTAGGAAGTTTCTGTATTCCTCGACTCTTGTTGACTTTCTCATATCTCGCCCACGTGCGATCACATATGGATCGTTGCAGCAGTGTAACGTGCTTCGCCTCTTCGCCAGCTCCACTGACTTGGACGATACTGAAAGAGATAGAAAGGTGCACGGGTTAACTTTGATCATATTCTTTTTCCACGCGCTTGCTGGACGCGTCACGATTTAAAAAAAATCAATGCAATAACTATTATCCCATTCTTTGTAATTATAAATGACGGTCGATTTAAATACGGTAGGATATTAGACAAGATTTCAACTGATCGTCAATCAATAGATGATCTTTGTCAAAAGCATCATCTAGAGTACATACCCTGATTAACATCTGTCCAGATGCACTATGAGGATTACGATACGCGTATGCAACCCATCCTCCTAAACCGGCAATTAAAGTGACGACAAGGAGGATCCCGATTATACCTGACACGCTCATATTCATATTCTCTCGAGCTGAAAAAGACATTCTCGTTATATAAGTCTTCTTGATTCGATTATTAAGAAGATCATCTAAATGACTAAAGAGAGAGAGAGAGAGAGAGAGAGAGAGTGAGAGAAATCATTTCTATTCCCAATTAATAAGATCTAATCGTTTCTAAACTCACGATGTTCCAGAGGACTGCTTCCAGGACTTTTCTTCTTCACTACGGATTTACTCAAGAGTGCATCTTCTTCCGTATGAACGTGTCCATTGTGATCGTGTCCTTCTTCCTGTTCCTTGTAAATTGTCGTAGATGGCGGACATATGTCCACCTCCTTAATATGTCTGATGTCACAACCTTTCAACAGCCAATCCTGTCGTGATCTAAATGTACCAGTACTACACTGATTCAATTCGGAACACCATTTGCAATCAAACTCTGTTAACTTTGTTAAGCAATCCGTGCAATTATCCATTTCCAAGCAAGTAGGTAATGCACGCAAATAAATGACAGTCCAATTTTTGATGTCTTGTCTGTTGAAATTGACGCGATGATACTCGTAGATAGTTTTTCGACGAACAACTGTGAAAAAAAAACAATAAATAATAATTTATATTTCAAATTCGGCTTACGATCATTGGTTTAAAAAATTTTCTATTTGCTTTGTAGAGTTTCTGAACGGAGAAAATAAGGAAGAATAACAAAAGGAATGAGAAAAGAGGACGGACCATGTTCCAATAATCTCGTAGAACGTTTTTAGAATTGGCGAGCCGCCAGTCTTTATGCGTTAAGTTAAAATTAAACGACACCAGGTGGAGATTGAGATTATGCGCTCGAGTTAGTGTCTGCGACATGTCTAGAGCAGCCGACGAAGGAACGAAAGCTTTTGTTTGCGAGAAAAGAAAAGAACAAAAATAGGACTTACAGAACACCGTCCTGTCCATGATGTAGGCATCACTGAGCCCAACTTTGACAGGATGTGTAGTGTCTTCTATTTGTTCTATTATGAAAGGAATAACGGAATACACGAAGACGATGTCACCGTTCTGATGCAGAGTTACCTGGAAAGTGAATGAACTGTCGGCGTGCTTCTCCTGTAGATGAACTTTTTCCCATTCGACCGTAAATGACGTACCTAGAAATATGAAAAATATTCGATAAATATATAAAAATGATAGGGAAGATCAATATAAGAACATGAAAATATTTTACTATTATCGATGATTGAATCAATCACTCACCATTATCGGCATACTTAACAAAACTCTCGTTGGAAAGTCTCGTGTCGAAATTGGCCATAAGTGGTGCAATGTATTGAGTGGCGGCTAGCCAACTATGTACGTACTCTCCCGTATATAAAAATCCACCCGTTGCGATGGTAATGTTACGGACCTTGTGACCGTAAAATGGAAAGTCGAATTTCAATTTGACGGTCTAAACAAAATTAATAAGATCCATATAAATATTATTTATTAACATCAACTGTTACGTTCTAGAAATAAGAATGACAATTTTCTTACTGTTGCACGTCGGTGACTTTTGCTGAGCAAATGATTAACACGAAGATCAGGATGATTGTCCATGTCAACCCAATAACCCTTTGCAACTGACTCATTGACGATGAACGTGCTGTTATAATATTGATGCGCATCCATTTCGGTCTTTGTTATGTTGTTCTGCGCGAGCGATTTATTGAACGCATTCATGTCGGAGAACTTCGTGATGGATATCCCGCCTATGTCAGTATCAGATTGCTCCTTTTCATTGCCATTGTCCTTCTCAGTGGTAGGTTCTGAAACCTCGCTCTTTTTACTTTGGTTGTTGACTGTTTCAGTAACGTAACCTCCGGAAGCACTTTCATTTAGTTCCTGTTCCTCGGCAGTATCACCTGACATTGTGGGTTGCTGTGAAACACTTCCAGTTATCTACCAAAGCGATTTTTCAAGATTAACAAACTTGTAAGGATTAGTAATTGATACTAGTAAAATAAATGTAATTCTAATGTAACACAAAACTAAGAATATTATTTTTTTTATAGGAAAAAGTAATATGGAAGATTCCGAGATGCATATATACATATATGTATATATATATATATATATACACATATATATATACCGGATTCATCGGCTGAGACACAAGGACGGAGTCCTTCGACGTTACTTCAGACTTTTGCGTAGAAACCTCAACGCTTGGTTTAGTGCTGGAAGCTGCATCGTGATTTTCTGATGCTCCACTAATCGTCGAATAAGAAACATCATCTGATTGTGAGTTGGATGTAGCATTTACAGGCTTTTGTTGTTGTTGCTGCTGCTGCTGCTGCTGCTGCTGCTGTTGTTCCTGTTGGTGCTTTAGGTTTTGCTGAAACGTCGATGGTTGTTGAATTATCTGATGATTTATAGAAGTTTGCTCCAATCCTTGCTGCTGTTGTTGTATTGATTGTTGTTGCTGTTGCTGTTGCTGCTGTTGTTGTTGATGTATCTTGTCTCCAACTTGTTCAGCCTGGGGCTCCCTATCAGAGTTTATCGTGTCTTTATCATTAGTCATTCGGCGTTCTCTGACAAGCAGCTCTTCTTCAGGAGCAAAGGATAAATATGGTAAACTGTAGTCGACTGATGATCTCGCGTTTGACATGATTCCAGAATAGCTATAGTATTCGTGATCTGTAAAAGATTAACAATAATCGAATGAAGAATAGATATACATATTAACGATTGAATGAAGTGTACAAAGAAATATCAGTCATCGAAGTAAAGACGATATAACGTATAGAATATAAAGTTGAAATCAGCTCGAAGAGATCTAATTGATAGATTAGACAGGGTTAATTTTCAATTCTTATTCCGTTCGCGTGCCTATACCAGCGCGATCAATTCGGTATTATTAATTCGTATGTTAAGAATGAATTAATAACATCGAATATTCTTCATCGATGAATCACATCAATGAAGAATAGTCGCATACGTGCTTGTATACGTACTTGCATCGTTGCTCTTGGTACATATTAAATTCAATTGATTTTTAATAAAAAGTCTAGTTCGCTTAATTTATTATTTATAAAAATTGAATTTCATAATGTTTTAATTATGTTACAGGTTATTAATTTTTTTAAGTAACGTAATGTATTATATATTATATCGGCATACAACGAGCTAGTAAGCAGGGCAAACGATCGACCGGATAAGGCAATGATTGGCGTTGCAACGGATCACCATGATAGTAGAGCTCGAGATGTCGGGAATAAAATATACGAAGCCGATGTCTTTTTTCTTATCATTACGTATATATCGTACAACCGTCAACATCTTATTTCAGGATAAAAATACGCGAACGTTGGATCAAGCAAGAAGGTAAATTCTTTTCTGAATTATTTTTTTCTTTTACATAAAAAGAAAAGAGAATACGTTAGCGAGTACATCGAAGAATGTGCACAACGTATAAGTGAATAACGTGTTTAGCATGGTCTTTTATCAGCAATTATAATAATTTTTCTAACATGATTCACGATTAAAATTGTTCACCGTTAATAGTCGAAGGAAGTAATAAAGAATTGCTTTGAATATGATGACGTTAGCACGTTGACTTTTATGTGCAACATATTAAATATTACATACAGTTTGGTAATCCGATAATTATTAACAGGAGATACAAATTTCTTGAATAATATTTAAATAGTTATTTTTACATAGTTCCACAGTTTTTTTAGAAATTGACCAACCTCTTTGGTTTTATTTTTTATAGACAAATTTTTTCTATTCTCTTTAGAATCTAACGGGAAAATTGAATAAGAATAAGAAGGAATTTTGACACGTATACACAACCTTGAGCTATCGAGAGAGAAAGAGAGAGAGAGAGAGAGAGAGAGAGAGATGTCTGCAACGTCTTTGTCTCTGTGCTAATGGAAATTACATGCCGCAACGAATTTCCCTTGCAAATACAAAGATTAGTCGATACTTGTCAAGGACGAATACTGGAATCCATTCTTGCGAATATGAACATTCCATTTGGTAAATTATTGCGAATCATTCGGACAACAACACGATCTTTATTGTTATGTATACGATAAGTTAATGTGATTGCATTATTAACCGTTTTCATTGTAATTGGAATAATGAATTAATAAAGAATAATGATAGCTAGGAATAATAGCAAGGAAATGAACGATTTGAAAAATCCTGCGCTTCTTTTAATCTTGGAGCAACTCGAGCGATAAACTAGGTTCATTCTTGCATCATATGATCAATTACAAGATATAATTATATAAAAATAAGTTATGCAGATTAAGTGACAGAACTAAAACGAATCGTATCCTGTTTTTTTTTATTCTATGAGAAAGATAAAAAAAATGTTAGAGAAAAAAGTGAGCAGAAAATGAACGTCCTCGGGGAATACCTTCTTTTCACATATTCGGTATTCGCAACGACCTCGTTCTATATACTTTTAAGGAAGTTCCATTGGCGAGAGTGTCCTTTGGATTAATTTATGCATGATTTTAATCATACATTAGCGAATATAGTACAATCATAATTTTTAAAAGAGAGAGGAAAGAATATTTTTTATTGTAACATCAAGAGTTTATCAGTAAAAAGTGTAATTAAAGTATAACATATAACGATTGCTTACGGACATTGTAAATAATCGCAATTTCTTACCCAACAATTTGATAATAAATAATTATTCATTATCACTCGTTGATATAGAAAATGTTTTTTGTTTTAAGTATAATATATATATTACTAAATCGTAATGAAAGATTTTTAATGATCCGCCTACGTATCTTCTCTCTCTCCTTTCTATTTTTCATTGAACACTATCTGACCGGAAATGGTGCAGCAATGTCAATGTTACTCGCATAATTAGTATTAAAATATACTCGTGTAGACACGAACTATGTAGGATCCACAATCGATTTACAATCTTTTTATGTTTTAACCTTTACGCTAAATCTCGTAAAAATGATCTTAATGATATAAATATGATTAGAAAAACTTAACGAAAGCATATAGTCGAATTGTGGTCATTAGTTTTTCTAGTAATAAAAGACGCATTAAACGTGACTTTAATCGTAAGTCGATTGAAGGAAAGATTAGAAACTACATGGACTATTAGCGAACGGATGATTAGAAATAATGAAGGAAGAGATTTCCTATTGATAGTCACAGGAACTGAGTAAAGAAATCTGCTATAAAATAATTGTTCATAGAATATTATTTGTTGTTGAATTTTACACAAATACAAAATCGTCAATTTTCGATTAATTTTAAAAATCGTTTGATGGTATCGTTCGTTAATTTAATCTTCTTCAAAGAACAATTGAATGACACTTATTGTCGACCAACTTGAAATATCCATTTCCGTCAGAAAGTCTTTTCATTTTTTTTTTCTTTTATTTTTTTTCACTTATTTCTTGGCGATATATTCACTCCCTCAGCGACTCCACTGAACGATTTTCTCAACGTTCGTATTTTTCAACTTCCTCGCGTTATCTTTGATCGCGTGGCAAAGCATATCATAATTAACACACACACGAGAGATCTCGCATTATCTCTTTCTGCCTAAGACATATATCATGCCATTTTGCATCTTTTCTAATGCATAAAATTCAATGAGATCATTTTGTTATAAATTGTATAATATTTTTTAAATTTTATATAGTGTTGAGAATAAAATCTTTAATCTTCTTTCTTTTTCAGATTCATGAAGAAATACCTAATAACAACAACAAAAATAAAATGACATGAACATCTCTATATCTTGTAATCATTGTAAAATCTCTAAGGATTTTGTTCTTTCAAGAAAAAAAAATAAGAAAATAGAAGGAAAGACAGAGTTCGTGATTCGCACGAAAGATTCTTCCCCGTGTCTGGGAGAGAAACGTCGACGGCATAAAGAATCGATTCTTCAGAGTCCAGCGACCCTTTTACTTCGTCTGCGAATTGAAAACGTCGTTGACCATTGAATGCGTCTGGGATGCATTGTATCTGTATATATTGATGAAATGTACAGGGTGTCCCATTTAACATCCCAAAAATATTATGATAATCTAACACTTTCTTCTGTTTTAATTTACAGATAGCGTTCTATAATATTTGAGTCATGCATTTCGTTACTAATAATCATAAGGAAAAGAAAGAGAGAGAGAGAGAGTGAAATAATGAAATGAAGAAAAGATAAGAAGAAGAAGATAATATCGTATATAATTTACAAGTCGTGTCTACTTCAAGGTTTCTCGAGATCCTGAACGAAGTCGAGATGAGCGTAGGTCGTCGCCGAAGAAACGAAATAAAAATTCCATAAGTGTATAGAGAAGGAGGTGATGAGGGGGAAGTAAAGTAGGAGGAGTAGGCGCCGCTGGGTAATCGACCGATCGAGTTTGACCAGAGTTGATCGTTGGACGACCTTGGAAAGTATCGTCTCTCTCCCAGGTAACTTCATCAAGAAGAAGACTCCTTACATCCTCTCTTTTATTGGATCCTTTGCACATGAATATATTCAGAAAAATAACTATACTACTTTCACTTTATTTTTAAACTGAAATAATATATGAAAAAGTTAAAAAAAAAAAAAAAAAAAAAAAAAAAAAAAAAAAAAAAAAAAAAAAAAAAAGAGAAAAAGAAAAAAAGAAAAATAGAGAAAAGATACTTAGTCTCAGTTTTGATCTAATTAGGGTATAAAGTTTTCTGTATATAGGTAAAAAAATCGTGATCGATTTTTCTCTTATTTTCTAATCAGAAGGCAATAAGAGACATAGGGCACGACGCGCATAAATCGCATGGGTCGGGTGTCTCCTCGCAGGTATAAGAATGCGGGTAACTGCATACGAAGCACGGAACCAGTTTTTAAAACGTGACTCACGATTGTCCCGTATCATACGCGACACCCCGTAAAAATAGCATCGGGGAGAACCCGTTCTTAGGGCTTGTCACACAGTTCAGCTTGGTTTGACTTTCCTTTGCGCTTTCTATAAACAAAAATCTTTCACCATGGTGATTTTAGAAAGAAGGAAACAAGGAAATATGTTTCATTCTTATCAAATTGTTAAATATTTCTTCTTTATTCCATCAATAAATACAAATCGATACATAATTTGCTTGATAAATAATACATGTAAATTCTTCTTTACAGATTCGTTTGATAGGTGTAGAAAATCTCGTTAGTTCCGATCATCGATTTGACTCGATCAAGTTGGAAAGTCTCTCGAAAGAGTCAAGCGGAAAAGGAAAGGAAAGCTTATTTGCCTCAGTTAACGTGGCAACATTAAAGTCATTATGGCATACTATGTCGTTGGTTAAATGAGTAAGATACCAGGAGGACGTAGATATTGCATAAACTTCTCTATCGCATCCGAAAGCACAAGCTGAAATACATCCTGTTCGTCTAATTTCATTCAAGAATTTGTACATCATCGTCTGAATTCAAGAAGAAGAAAGTGTGTGTGTGTGTGTGTATGAATGTTTATTTTTTCTATGATAAAAATATTAACAAAAACAAAGCTATTGCACATTTAATTTTTTTTTCAAATTTCTATGTAAATCCAAATAATTTTGTAAAATACCATCCAGCAATTGTCAATTTTGTAAATCGATTCTTCTTCTTTATTTATAGAACGATTAACGATACAGATAGATGATGGTTTGAAAAAAAAGATATCGTAAGTGTTGGTGCAATAGCTTCGCATAATTATTGCGAGAATAATTAAGTCCCTGCGCCGGAAAGTAACGTCGTACATACATTCTGACCCGATTCTCTTACATTCTCCGAGGTACCATTACACAATTAGAGATAACAACGGATCGTGGGACCGACCAAAGTCGAAACGATGCAGTCAGTTCCGATCGTAAACGTCACTCCGATATTTCATGATCTCTTTCTGTTTATCTCTCTCTCTCTCTCTCTCTCTCTCTCTCTCTCTCTCTCTCTCTCTCTCTCTCTCTCTCTCAAGAGAGAGAGATTGTTACCTTTGTTCTTTATTCTCTACGAATCTCGATCTTTATCTGCTATCGATCTAGACCCAGGATACTGTTAGTACTTTTTAATGACGGAAGAAAAGTCGAAAATTTATAAATCAATGTAATATTTTTTCCCTTCTTTTTCTCTTTTTTTTTGTTTTGTTTTTGTAATAATATGTCGTAACTACGTATCTTTAAGCGGTGTTTTATAAATCCAAAAACTTTTTCAGATTATTATATATCTAGTATACACACACACACATACGCATATCCACATATGTGTGTGTGTATGTTAGTATAAATGTATCGGTCGGCGATTAGTTTTTTTTTCTAGCATTTTCTAGCATAAGATTAAGTATCCTTAGCAAGTGACACGTCACGAGCTTGCTCGACCCGTTTTGTGGAATTTCGTTTATATTGCCAGATGTCGCGAAGAGTTATAATTCACGACTTAAAATGATAGATAATTGTTATGTATCTCTTTCAACACTGTAAGAAATCTAAGAAAAGTACCAAGTTTCCTCGAAAATTTATTCTTTCGAGATTCGTAATTCTAATATTTATTTTATATTACAAAGATAATTATTACATCAGAACAAGAATCAAAATTTTGATTGATCAGTACAAATGATGATTTTTACTGATCAATTCAAATGATGAATTTTCATAATACGATTAGTTTATGTTCTAAAATAGTATTTCTAATTATTCTATCACTATATATTTCAAAACATTGAAACGTAAATAGAAAGAGAGAGAGACAGACAGTAAAAGGTTATATACATAGCTCGAGGGTTCAATCCTGTAGCGTTTGTCACACGAGCCACTCAAGAATCTTACGTCTGGCGCCAAGCTTGATCATGGAAAATGGTAAGAGAGAAGGTGGAGAGAGAGAAAGAGAAACAAGAAAGAAGAAATAAGCGACATCAAAAAAAAGATATGTAATCTCTCTTCTACGTGTTCAGTTCTCGCATAAGTTTCGACCAAGTAAAAGAAACGAAACAAAGGATTGCGTATAATCGAGGGTGTGTTTATATATATATATATATATATATAAAACCTGACACCGTTTCATCTTTTTCTATTTAAGAGATGTCCTTTTAAAAAATCTCACAAGTTCGAGGAATCTGTTAGAAAATATGATGACTGAACGATCGATAGAACGCGAAACATAGTTTTTTATTTTATTTTATTTTATTTTTTTTTTTTTTTTTTTTTTTTTTTGAGACAAAACTCGTGTAAATCCTTATCTATCCCTTTGTTTCACATATATGCATATACGTAGGCTATTATTAGAACGAAACGCACGTGTCTCACGTTCATTTTGTTATAAAAGGCACGACGAACGCGTTGCAATACGTTGACGTTGACGAACACGATCGCTCCTGTGCATACGAAGAGCCATTTAAACGACAATGCGACGATGAAGTACAATTGCGTTCTCGTTCAAGGGGGGAACCGACAAGAATACCCTTCATAATAATCATTTTCGCTCTTTAAACTAAGCTCAATGATCTTTCGAGCTTACTCGATAGGATACTTTAATAAAATCGCACTGAAATCTTCCTTTTCTTCTTCTTTTTCTTCATTATTAGTGATTTGAAACATTGTTTTTTTATCTAATAAAAATGTAATATTAATGTCTTAACTTAATATACCATTTTGTAATAATTATATCTTTAGATTTTGCAATGAAAATTTTTAACGTATATACACTGTCGAAATACTAACGGCAAAGGGAAGTAACGTTATGTCCGCTTTCCCTTCCGCGATACCGCTTTAGTATGACCCCTGGAGAAATCGCTCCGATTTACAGTACTAAGGACGACTGTTCACTCAAGTAGAAGAAGAAGAAGAAAAAGAAGAAGAAACTTATTATTTTCTTTATTTCATTTCTTTTTCTTATTCGATTTCTACGTAACCAACAATGACTTGCATATCAATTCGTTCCAATATTATTTTATTAATCTTTCAAATAGGAAAAGAAATGAAATTTCGTTCGGACTATGGAAAGGGTCTATAAAGGTGATACCTATTAAATGAACGATATTAAAACGTATACTCTTCTTTCTTTGTTAACTTTATACACTTTGTCGCTTTATATGATTAACAAAGTCATCGAGGTAATTTCTAAATGACTACGATACTCTTTGGTATACATTAAGTATGTATGTGTGTGCATGTAATAATATTCGACCGAATTACCAAATTAGAATTTTTGTCATGGCTTTGAAAGTAACGCGAAAGTAGCGAGATAATTAATTAGTTTAAACGCGTGAACGATATACAAAACATAGGTCGAAGCACCAGAAGGGGGGTTCGGTTAGTCTCTCGAAAGTATTCTTCAAAAGGCACGATCGGTGACGGTGTCCTGAGCTCGTCGATACGCCACAAGGATTTTCAGGCCAGTGAACAGTATAATGATGCGAGCACGAAACCGTGTAGGTACGGAAAAAAACAAAAAGAAAGGGAGAGAGAAAAAGAAAGAGAAAGAGAGAGAGAGAGAGAGATAACTCGAATAATTTTCAAAAAAGATTAAATCAGGGAAAAGTGATCATTAACTTATTAATTTGTGAAGCAGATCCGAATATGTGATATTTTCATGTCGATCGAATATTTTAAGAATACGTCTCCGTTTTCGTTATTAATTCCTTTTAATACGATCTTTGTAATTTTGAGAATTAGAACAAAAGAAAAAAATTCTGGTAACTCTAAACAGTGTTAGGGTATTAACTGATACGACGTCATGTTATTTTTTCTCGATTAGAGCTTTCAGGAAAAAACGTTCAATTCTAAGAAATCTGTATAATCTTATCACTTTTAATGAAACTTCCTTGAATTGGTATTAAATTTTATTAAAGCATACAAATAAAATTTCTCGATTAATTTAGAGGTCATATTAATAAAATTTTACTTATTAATGAAGTTTGTTTAACTATGAAGTTGCTTCGTTAAAAAAAAGTAATATACATATTTATAATATAGATCAGACAATCTTTTATGTATTCAATTGTTAATATTCAATAATTTGGACTTCGAATTGAATTTTTTAATCATAAATATATCAACTGTTTTTAACTTTGTAAACATTCGAGATAAGAAGGCAAATTTATTTTACGAAATAAAGTTGCTTTTGTTGCTTCAAGTGAGCATGACTTACTAAGCAATTATGTTCTTTGCGTAATGTGTACGATTGTCGAGGATACTTACGCAAATGCAAGGACATATTACACATCTATTTTATACAAACGAATGTTTTTTAAAAAGTTTGTTACATCTCTTGTAAACGTTTCTTATTTTTTTTTTGCATAACATATGATTCAAAAGCGTAAACAATCTTCAATGTATGTACGATGTAACCAATACTTAATATCGAGTGTGAATTTATATATATATATATATATATATATATATATATATATATATATATATATATATATAAATCAATTGTCAATTTCATGGAAAAAGTCTCGGCTATTTTCGTGAACAAATTTCACTATCGGAAAAAGCGATAACTATAAAGATGATAACTAAGTATTCTCTCTTTTTTTTTTACAGATACTCTACCAAGAACTATCTAAGAATGCCTTCCAGTAAAATAGATGTCTTAATAATGACTTGATAATAATCATAAACAAACTTTTCTTCGTGTTTGACTAATCATCATGTCATCATTGTAATAAGATATTTGAATCATCTAAATGAGATTATTCAAGGAATATAAATTACCATGATAGTTCTGATAAGTATAATTATGAAGATTATCTACAACAGATTAAAAAAAGAAGATAAAAGAAAAAAAAGAAACTTGCAACTAATCGTAAAAAATAGAAACGGAAGGACTTGTATTATTGGTCGACGAGCTTCCGGTGTGAAACCCTCTCTCTACGCAGAGACTATTCTAAGCATTTGCCTGGCCTCCTCCGTTACACCTACGCACGTGTGAGTACATTTTAAACATGCATATGTATGCGTATATAAATATAAATACATCTGTTCTACATATATATATTATATTTTATATATATATATATATATACACACACACACACACACAGACAAGTCCGACGTATATTTTTACAACGTTTTACATGCGTGCTTACGAGCATGTAGCAAGAGAAGCTCGAGTTCATTGAACTCGTTGCATTTTCGCACTTCGACCATAGCTTATGTTTTCTCACTCGATTCGTCAATTATATCGATTGTCTACATTAAAGAAATTCCATGATTTCATTTATTATAAATATTTATCGTAGATTTAATTGAATGTGCGTATTAAACAAAGTAATTGAAATATTTTGTTACTTTCAGATTTTATAATCGATAGTATTAAACAAAAGTCAGGTCGACATATACGTATCCTTGGTGGTAACAATAAGAAGAAATCTTTGTTTACAAATTAAAGTAAACAGTATCGTCATTGGGAGAAATTCACCGTCCATTTACGAAGAAGCGTGGCATGTATACAAACGTTAACACGTATTAGCTTGCGAGACGCAGAAGAAGAGACACACGAGAAGCAATCGAGTATAATCGTTCGTAGACCGTTCCGTTCGCATTAGGCAAGCTTAATGACCGTATAAAAGGGTGCCACGTGGGTGTTCGTTATCTTCGCTGAGCTACACCCTTTTCCTCTTCGAAATTCGCCTCGCTCGTCTTTGTCGCATACGTCTGCTATACCGGCTGGCCCCGTTTTAGTTTCGTCTTTTTGTATCTTTCGTTTTATGTTCCTCATATACTGCGGGTGTGCATATGGTATATACATACATATATGTATGTATATATATATATATATATATATATATAAAATCATATACATAGATGTGTTATTTTAAGAACAGAAGCTCATTTAAACGTTTCTTAAGAGTATTAGAAACTTAACGGTTAAGCTGACAAGCGTAAATTAAACATTTGTCGGCTTGTAAAAATGAATTGTTGATTGAAAGAATTTGTTAAAAAAAAAAAAAAAAAAAAAGAAAAAGAAAAAAAGAAAAAAAAAAGAAAAAAAAAAGAAAAAAAAAGAAAAAGAATGTAACATTATTTAATTGTGTTATAATTAAAAACTGTACTTTTATCTAGCAAAATCGAAAGCCTTCGAGTAATTTTTATATATCTATACAATGGATATGCGTATGAATGTAACAGGTATAGAGTACATATGTAAGCACGTAATACAATAGCTATAGATTACACAGGACGGTAGACGTTTACGCACGAAGCAGAAGCCAGACATGCGAGTAAAGCTCGAAGGTGTGTGTCGTGTTTACGATTTACATTGAGATAAGAAGATATCGGGTGAACGTTTGTATCTACGAAAGGGTTAGCCCTTTATCTGCAACAATATAGAATTATTACATACATTATATAATCATTTTTGCTGACCATGCAACTACTTTTTTTATTTTTTAATTTTTTCTTTGATGCACAACTTGCATAATATAATCATAAAATAACTGAAAATGGTCGAAACGTCTGTCATTATTTTTAACTCGACGATATGGCCAATAATTTGCTTCTTTCTTTCCGAACAAAGTAACTGATAATTTGTACATACGTACATCACACACATGTATAGGCGGATAAAACAAGAAACATGTGTCGTTGAATCAAGCGTATTGCGTTTAGTTGTTCTTTTTCTTTTTTCTTTTTCCTCTCAAAGGAAAGTATAAAAGACGAGTAGTTACATAAAGGAAAAAGTGTAATTATTTTTCGAGAAATGTAGATCTTGAAACACTTCCAAGAACATCATAGCGTATGGTTTGTAAATTTCTTGATTATTTCAGAAATTCGTCGAAAAAAGAATTTTCCTTTAAGTCGAGGAAGTTTAGTTTTAATTTTAACTTCGCTCTGATAATCTGGATACGTAGGGTGTAACATACACGCGTATAGACATGTAAATGCGTAAGTATTAGAAACGTACGCAAAACGTTTGGAACGTAGATTGACGAGTGGCCACTCGTTGAACTCTTTCACTCGCTCACATGGAAGGTCTCGAATCATAATGATCGCGTTGACGGCAGAAAAAGCCCTCGAACTCAACGCTTCTCTCACCATTCCAAAGATCGTAGTCAAGAAGAAGAAGTTAGAAGAACCCTTGGCGATATTCCTACGCCATATGTGAACAAGAACGTTCACAGAAATGGTGTAAAAAACCAGAGAGAAAAGGAAAATAACGATGTGTCGAAGTTCCATTTAGATTTTATTTTCTTTTTAACAATCTCTATAATTTCTAATTTTTCTTTGTATATCGTAAATTATCATGCGTCCAATTGCACGTAATAATGACGAGAATTTTCGAAGATATAAAATTATATATATATATTTTGTTTTACGAAAAAACGTTCGCGTAAAAAAGAAAATTAAAAAAAAAAAAAAAAAGGGAAGAAAGTATCAAACGCATAACATAAGTGAAATGTAAAGCCACATATCGTTTGAATAATTTAACGTTTGAACAATGCGTTTGCAAGAAAAAGAAGTCGATGGCTACTATGATTTCTTTGTAATGTACAAGTGTTACATATGGTACGTATAGCATTGGTTAGCGATAAAAGAAGAAAAAAGGAAAGAAAAAAAAAAAAAAAAAGAAGAATGAGGACAAAGTAAGTATATTGGAAAAGATTCGCAATGACATAAAATACGGTCAGATAAAAACAGATTCACAAACATTTATCTATACTCGAGTCGAGCATGAATGTTAAAGAAGAAGTTTTATCGATTTAATGGTCCGTTGTACAATTATAAAAAAAAAAAAAAACACGTTAATACACGTAGGTTCTCTCGTTCTCGAATTTCAAATATCCCGCCATTATGTTTCTTTTCAAAATGGTCGTCGTTCTCTCCGTGTGGTCGAAGCTACCAGAATTTTTTTTTTTTTTTATTAATAATCACGTAATATTTAGATCTTTATGTCGTCAAATTGGATTAGAATTTCATCAAGAATGCAAAATGTAATCGTTTACAAATCGAAATTAGTCACCCGTTATATTAGCGCGAGCATTGTAAGTACGTAACTTATACAACTAACGACTGCATCGAAGGAATTATATACGGTTGTTCGTGGAACAGGTGGTTAGAGAAGGATAGAGACAGGAAAACAAGAAAAATTATAAGAGAAAGAGAGAGATAAAGATATTCGTGCGTAGTTACGGAGTTGATCTTATAATAATATTTGTTCACGTTGAAGAAATTTGATATAAATCATCGAGATATGAAGACTTTTGTGCGTCGTACCAAAATTGTATTACTCGATGAAGGAGAAAAAAAATCGAAGTTATCGATTGACGTTCGATCGATCGTAAGGTATTTAAGAAAATCTCTGAAAATAACGTAGGACAAAATTATCAAACATAGGGTCGCCCTTGCGTAATTCACGTCGTCATGCTAGATATAACGCGATGTGTATATATATGTGTGTATATATACACATGCTCGCGCACACGCACACACACATATATATATATATATCATTTATGATCTTAAACGAGTTGCTTGCATTCTCGAGATAGTAACCTCTTGCACACAAATCTTATTTCTCTTATATGTCATTTCTTTGTTGAAATGTAACCTAAAGAGAGCAACGGAAGACGATTATAGGAATTATTGAAAGTCTATATATCAATGTATTTTTTCATTTCTTTTTTGTCTCCGATTATTCTCAATGCTTCTATTTAGTAATCATTATTAATTATTATATAATTAAATATTGCAGATACGTAATTGCAGAACCAATGAACGTCAGATCTCGTCATTGCAGTCGACCAATTAAAATTCATAGGCGAACAAGTCTCCGTAGTTTCGACCAATCAGGTGCAGTCAATGTATGCGAAAAAAATCGTCAACGGTCAAAGGTATTCGTGCATGGACGTGTTACTGATCGATGAATAGAATAAATCATTGGAAGGCTGTTCTCGAAAAGGATAAAAAATAAGTTGCATGTATTTTCATACGGAAAAAGAATATGCGAGGAAAAATCTTGGAGATGCATCGTTGCAGTGAATAATAAGAAGCAAGAAAAGATTGGAAAACAAACGAATTCCAAGAGAGGTATGAAAACGACGTTTCAATGTTTTACGGCGCGAACTTCGAAAATCTCGATCAAGTACCATTGAATAAGATATTATACGCAAAGATTACGATAGAAACTAAGGTGAATCTATAAGCTAGGAGAGTCTCTTAAACGAGAAGGAGTCGGGACTCGATGGAATTGCGTAGTAGCTCGCGTAGGAAGAGGCGTTTCTTGCTCGTTCAACGGGCTAACTTTTCCCGTTCCCCCTCTTCGCTCTATGTATGTGTGCGTAAAAAGATGTGTATATATATATATATATATATACATATATCTTTCTTTCTTTCTTTCTTTCTTTTTCGTTCTCTTCGTCTTCGTCGCGTCAGCAAACTCGCTATCCTTCTCCCCCGACCTCGCGACTGTATCTCTATCTTTCTCTTTCTTTAACGCTGCTCGTAGCGGACAACCTTCTTCCTTTCGTTGCTCGCCTCTCTCCAACTCCTTTCTCTCCATCTCATTCGTTCGTTCGTTCGTTCGTTCTCTCTCTTTCTCGTTCGCTCGCTCGCTCGCTCGCTCACGCTCACTCTTTCTCTCTCTTACACACACACACACACGCACACACTCTTTCATTCTAACTCTCGAAGGATCTTACGCGTTGGCATCCCAAAGGAAAACCGTCTCGTGTCCTCTTATCCTTGCGGATAGGAGGATGGAAGTTAGAGACTCACCAAACTGGCCAATCGCCAGAGACGACGATCCACAGCAGAGTAGAACGACAAGGAACAGCAATACGTAAGGCCATTGTGAGGGAGAAGAAGAACCGGTCGCCTCGTAGTCGCCACGTTCTGAGCACCACCGTTCACACGCCATATTTACAACCTCGCTAAAACTCTCCCGCGCCCAAGGAATTTAGAAATCCCCTGTGCGCGGTCTACGTAGCGCACGGTGCCGTCTACCTCGCGCCTTCGACGAAGAACGCTTAAAGAGAAAGGAGGGAGCAGGAGGAAAGAGAAAAAGAGAGAAGGAGAGAGGCGGATGCTACGGGAGGAGTTGGAGTGGGAGGAGAGAAAGAACGGGGTGGAGAGAGAAGGGGAGAGACTGAGAGAAGAAAAGTCTTATAATTTTTTGATGTTTCAGCAAAAGGAGGAGAAAAGGTATGGTTCTTCTCTTCAATTTCTTTTCCCTTGATTCCAAGAACTTAGCCCTCTCTTTTTGTTCCTTATTTCTTTATCTCCTCGTGATCCTATATATTATCCCAAGTTTCAATGCAACGTCTTCTCTTTTGTTAAATTCAATTGTCGAATAAGCGAACGCGTTCACGCGGTACGGCACTTGTACGCGAAAGAAGGCACAAATGCGCGAGGAAAGGCGCTGAAAGGGGAAGAAGGAACTCGAAGGAACTTTGTCTCGACGCTCTCAAACCGGTACCGGACGAACAACGACAACGAGTGCCTGCGGCGGGAACGGCATGTCGGCTCTCACTGCCGGTCGAACGAACGCTCGCTCGACTCCTTCGAGAGGGAGCCCTCTCTTTTCCTCTCCTCTTTTCCTCTCTTCACTCGTCGTTTCTTACCCTTATTTTCATTCTTTCCCCTTCCATTTTATTTTCCTCTTATCTATCTAAAGAAATTTATCAACTGGAGATAACTCGTTACGAGCGTAGATAAAAGAAATTTCGTAGGTAAAACAGGATTCGATTGGTAAAACATAGTTCGGTCGATAAAATCAGAATTCGATCGGTAAAACGATATACATGTTCGTGAAAAGAACATTTCTAATTATTATTATTATTTGAATTATTATTAAAGCGTCTGCATTTATACGAGAAGAAATATTTTCTCGAATTAATTATAAATTATGCAAATGAAAGGATTAGTAACAAATTTATAACGTTTGAAGTATGAAATGAAAAAAGAAAGCAGTGATGGTAAAGAAGATTTTATTATCTTCTTAATGTCGATAAAGTATTATTTCTTATTACAGAAGGTAAAGAAGGAAGTTTCCATATTCGTCTAACGTAGAGGGCGCTTTTAACGGTTTTTCTCGTCATTCCATGTCTAAAATTTCAAAGGAGACGTTTTTTACGCAAGACGAATCTTCTGAAAAGGAAACGTCGTAGATAGAAGAATTCATGCACGAGGACAACGAACTCTCTGGAAAAATGGATGAAGGTAGCGTTAGATCAGTATCGCTGTCGGGTGTAAGTTTACCAGTGAGATGAAGATGTTGATCGAAAACTGCCTGTAAAAGGAAAACGTGTAAGATGTCCATTTTTCGACGGTTTTGTTTTTTCTTTCTTTTTCTTTTTCTTCTTTTTTTTTTTTTTTTTTCAAATTATAACGTACCGTAACATTAACATTATCTTGAAATGTCCTATGACACTGCATGATATCCGCAATCGAAGGAAAATTAAGATACGTGTTCACCTGTCGATTTTGAAAATCCTTTTTCCGTAACATATAAAATCTATCGGTTGTTCTACGAATATATTCGATCTCGTCGAGAGCATCGAGTGTTGGTGCTAGCAAAGAATCACGAATTCTAGCGTATTCGTCCTTTTCCTCTGTTTCCTCGATAATCTTAGCGGTAGCATTAAATTTATTTTGACGTTCCCGAATAAAAAGACCCCAGAAATGATATCGTTGCGACATTAAAGACATAAGTTGACCATCCATTCCTAATGGTATAACACCTAGCTGAGCTAAATACTTGCTGATCTCGATCCAAGTCTGTCCAATTTTTAATCGAAAGTAAAAATTCACAGTGGACATCGTGATCTGATAGGGAAAAGAGGGGGGAAAAAAAGCTATTTACGATCCTACGATGGAAATAATAATTTTTCGTGAATTTACCTTATCTTCGATAGATAAATCATTAATTAGAATCTTGTAATGATCTCTAGCCATCTGATATTTTTCTCCATATCTTTCGATAATTTGACGAAGAGCATAAATCTTAGATCTAGACGAGCCAATCAAATCGATCATTGCAGGACTAACTTCGTGTCTAAGTTTGGTACGATAAGTCTCTAACCATTGTTTGGGACCCAATTGAGGTAATTCAGTGTCTGTATGAATAAAAAAAAAATTGTACGTCTAGAATAGCTCATTAACGATCGATCTTCGAGATTCACCTTCGATCGTGCCATCCAATCGTTTCTTCACACCGATTTCACTCTCCTCTTCTCTCCAAATCATTGCCATCAAAGACATCAATCCTTTGTTCTTATCAATTCCACGCCAAGTACATAAATAATGACCACAAAAGATATTTTCACAAATATCTATTAATAGACCAAGAAATAAACATCTAACAGGAGAAGAAGTGATTTCGATTACGTCGATTATAGTGTAGACTGTATTCTGGTCAACAAACTTCTTCAAATGTATCGGACATGGTACTATAGATCCCCAAATATAGGAACCAATCGCTAGCAAAAGACTATCATAATTATTTTTCTCTTATTTTAATTACGAAAAAGTTCATTGAACATATTCAATTGATCTTTTCCAAACCTACCGTTGATCCATATGAAAATCATCGTCTTTTCGATGATAAAAATATCTATCTAACAATTGCCGAATGATTTTTATATTATAGTATCCATATAACAATCGAAGGTATGCTTCTTTTCTGATTATTTCGTCTGCAGTGATGAATAATATTGTCAGAATTCTTTGATGTTCAATCGTTAATTTATCGATACGTAAGATACAATCGACAAGATCTAAAAATGATATTAGAATATTCCTCAAAGTTGTTATTAATTTATTGAAAATAGTTTGGAAAAATTTGGCTCACCGAACAATAAAAGAATTATTTGTCGTTCGCGAAAATCTTTCAACAAGATAGGGTTTTTAGAAAGAACGATGGAACATACTGCCTTGGTAGAAATCATTGCAAATTTCGAATCAAATTCGTTCGAGGAACACCATTGCAAAATGGACATCAATCTACAATGTCAATGGCTTTCAAAATTAATTCGTAAAAACTCGAAATTAAGAACAACGTTTGAAGTTACTTTTGGGTTCCATCGAGTTCAACAAATTCCTTAGGTAGTTTTGGCGCAAGTACAACCAAAGTGAATATTGCATGTTCGAAAAGATGCCAAAATTGAGGTGGACTCCAAATAGATTTTGAATTCAAATCAATGAAGCCAAATATTGGTAATAAGACGTCCAGTTCGATCATGATCTAAAGAAATAATTTACTCAAAATGATTCCTGATAAATTTTTATGATCATAATAGAGAAAATTATCTACATGGATAGAGGCATTAAACGTAGCAAGATCAGATACGATTAGTAAAAGTGTTTTCAAGAAAACGAGGTTCTCTTTGTTAGGAACAAATTTAATGTTCTTTGACCAGATATGAATTCTACCAGAGAGGCAGTCAATTAAAAGAGATAGGACATCGTTGGCTATACCATTGCTGATAATGGTACAACATGGAAAAAGTTGAACTATAAGTAGAATGAGCAATGTCATTTCGTTTCGAAGTTTTGCATTGAATTTACAATTCTGACTTTTGTATATCTGTTTTTTGAAGGCATAACGAAGACCCCTAAAATTGAGATAGACATTTTACTTGCAATATTTTCGCGTTGATGTATTAAAAAGGAATAAAAAAAGAAGAGGAATACCACATAGCACAATGTACTGGAGTACCAAAGTCTTTCAAACAAGCTGGTACTTTTTTCGGAGGCAAAATAGATCTCATCAGGGTCCATAAGATATTCATTATCAAAACCATTGTATCATCTGAGTACTCGTCTCCTTCCAGGAGCTCGTTTGGTGGTGGTTTACAAAACACTTGAGTCGCGTAAGCAAGGTCCATTCTAATTAGCAGAGAATTCAGAATACCAGCTTCTAACATTTTGTGACCTATGTTTGTAAATGATCAATTTGTTGTCGTTTTATAATCATTGTTTTTTTTTTTTTTCTTTTTTTTTTTAGAGACCTAAACTAATTTTTGGTTTTTTCTTTTTTTTTTTTTTTGTACTATAGATTTTAATTCATGAATGATTTCGATTTTAATCTTTTTTACTCTACTTCGTATAGGACGATGCAACGATGATGAAACGCCAAAGATTTACTTACAACAGAGACAGGAAATAGACGAAAGTAGGAAGATCAACTCCAAGATCGTAGGATATTCTTCCGGGGAGGAAGTTTTTAATATCTCGGTTACGATAAAGGACAGATTCGATTTCTCCATGGCAGCACGACAAATCTCAGACTTCACTGCGGAAGGATCACCTGGCACAGTTCTGATTAATAAAGAACGAAGGGCTTCGTGCACTTTAAGGAGCTCTTGCTTCCTAGGTAAGATCGTTAGTAGATACCCAAAGAATGTAAAATATTGTTCCATTATGTCTGAACAAGTAACGTTCTGAAAGAATTTTTCCAATAGAGGTGGTCGATTAGAAAACTCCAACATCTGATCGAGATGCAAACGATAATCTTCTACGCTTTTTGCGTTCGTTACTAAAAATTCTATTATTTTTATTACCATTGGTAAGTGTTTTACCATCTAATCGCAATCATGAGAAAGGATAAAACAATGATCATCGGTATGTACGTGTGTGTCTATTATTAATAATTTATAAGTTAACCAAATTTTAGGTTGAAGGATACGTAAGCCCGATCGCAAAGTTGTTCCTGATAGTCATATAACAGTCTAGAGATTCGTGATACGTCATTTTTAGTGACTGGATCGGATATAAGTTCGTGCAATTTATGTACAACATAATCCACGTCTATTTCTCGACATTTTTCTTTGCCAAATTTCGTATTATCAGGACAAGAACATTTGATTATTTTTCGAGAAGAAATGAAATTCCGTTTTTCATCCTGATATTTCTTCCTCTCCATCGATACGATTGTTAAAGTAAATATACAAGTTAAAAATATTGATATTAATAATAGAAATGATGAAAAATATATTTGTTGAATGGACAATATCTGAAAGTCAAGTAAAAGCTTTCATTTCTAACAGCATTCAAACAAAAGCAAGCCAAGTGCACTCTAGCCGCCTTTGAAATCGGCTGGAGAGAGATATAACAGGTGGCGCAACGAACGAAAAAGGACAAACTCTTGTTGCTCTTGAAACGAGGAGCGTAGTATAGTTGGTATATACAAAATCGTGCCCTCCTCGTCGTCTACAGAACGCATTTGCATTCAGAACGAAGCGCGTACTCCTCGCATGAGACGGCGAGGAATTTCAAACGCGTTCCGTTCGATCTTCTTTCCTTTCCTCTCTCTTCTTCATGAATACGTCATGATTTATTGTTATTAATTTCAAAGTAGTGGTGCCCTCTCGATTGTCACGATTAATGGCGCGAGATGTTCTATAAAGATTCTAATTGATCCTATTAGAAATATTATTCCTTGGTAAAGAAGTTAAAACATTTTGTATTTTGGTAAATTAAACGTTTCAATATATTATATATTATCTAATCATATGTTAAGTTAGAGTGAATAATTAAGTAACAGAATGTTAAATATTTAGATTAAAACTATTGCTTTACGAGTATTATTTGTTTAAAGGATAATTATAATCTTAATGGCATTAGAGACATAATTTTCTTTTGCTAAAAATACTAATTGTTAGTTTTCTTCTATTCTGTTAGTATTGACTCAGTTCTTTATTTTCCAGGATCGTTATGTTACCGCTAGACGGCTCCACCTTCGCTCGCTCCCTGGATAGTAATGGCTCTCTTGATTGTGTGTGATAGTAAAGGCGGTACGCCTTCAACAACGTTGAGAGAGCACCTGAGCGACGCGCGTGTGCCTCGTGCGAGAGAGCCGAGACGTTAGTACGATCGCGACGCTGTCGTTGGCACAGCCGGCTAAAAAGTGAGTGTCCATCTCCCATTCACTGTGTTTTTTTTCCTTTTTTTTTCGAAGGACAATGTGTATCCTCGCAAGCAAGAGTTCATCATTGTTCTTAAACATCTCATATTAACGCTAGAAAACAAACAAACAGGAGTAAAATATACATTTGTTCATTTTCTATTTTAAAAGGTGATCGAAGAGGCATACAAAAAATCATTGGTGTACCAAAAAAAAGATCTTTCTTTTTCTGTCTCGGAAGAGAGTTTTGGTTAACGAACCGGTTCTGAGTGAACTCGTACACGTGAAAAGGGGTAGAACGTAGCTTTTCTCTCTCTCTCTCTCTCTCTCTCTCTCTCTCTCTCTCTCTCTCTCTCTCTCTCTCTCTCTCTCTCTCTCTCTCTTTCTCTCTAGATATACTAAGTATTCAGATTGATCGATCTTGCATGAGTCCTTGGAGTGAAAGTGTGTCTGGATTTTGAAATCGACACCGTGGACAAGGTACTCGAAATGTGAGGGATTTAGCAACGGGTGACCTTGATGGGCCGGTGAGTGACCTTTTTCAACGACCTCTTACTCCTCCTTCATTCGTTTTCTTCAATACCATCAGCGTCCTTTCTTCCTCGTCCTTGCACGGTGTCTATACACCAAAGAAGAAAAAGACTAGCTGACTCGATCTTTACGCTTGCACGCGGCTAAGTTATGACTGTGTTTCCTTCCTTTCAGGATTACCCTGGGTTTTCTTCTTCTTCGAGTTCATTCTGCGTTCCCACGGGAAGCAGGAGGCGTCTTGCGTGAAGAGAAAAAAAAGAAAGGGTTCTTAATGATAATATCGTTTTATTACAGCAAGTCCTTTTGATTAGGTTTCTTTCAAATAATTTTGAATGTTTCATTTTTTAATTCTATGACTTAGCCTTATCATAGTGATTTAAGTTGATTGAGAATATTATAATTATCGTGTAATTTTTGTTCATTCTTTTGCCGTGCAGTATGTAGACATCTATCTCTCTCTCTCTCTCTGTCTCTTTCTTTCTCTTCCCCCCCCCCTCTCTCTTGTGTTATTCTTATTCGAGGTATCTCTCGTCGGAGTAACGACTTCTCGAGTGGTCTCACCACCGACACTAGTCTCAATTCTACTCTCTCAACATTTTTTATTCTTTCAGGAAAGGCTAGAAATTGATTACGAGCATGTTAAAAATATGAGAAATAACTCAACAATGTTAATATCTTTTTTTTCTTTCTTTTTATATCGAACAGAAAAATAATTATTTTGTAACAAAAGACAGAGTAGATTGTTAGAGTGGTTGGATCGATCGTAGACTCTTCAAAGTTCTTTTCATCAGCGTCGTCCATTCACTCTTTCAAAGATACGAAGTATGCTTGAGCATGGACATAGAAATTGCGTCGGTCGATATTCGCAGGAGCAACCACCCGCCATTCGTTTATATAAAGGTGGGGGTGAAATCGAGGGCGAAGAAAGTAAGAGAGAAGCCGAGGAAGACCGAGAAATACCGATGAGAAGGACACCAGACCCTTCTCTCTTTCTTTCTTTCTTTCTTTCTTTCTTTCTTTCTTTTTTCCCCCTTCTTGTCCACTCCAATTATTATTCCTGTTGGACATTGCTAAGGATCAAAGATTTCAGACGTTCTTTTAAGCCTGAAGATGAATCTTTTCTAAAGTATTTTCTTTTAAAACAAAATCTCTATATTTTCTAAAATAATTATTAAGTCGAATATGTGAGATAGGCATGTAAAATTATTCTAATTAGCTAATATCATTTGGAAATATTTGATCTGTTAACAATTTCACTATTAATATCAACGTTGGATTTCTACAAGTAAACGATTAAGAGATATATATTTTTCCATCTCGTTTTCGATTGGTTAGAAAGATTTATACACACACACACACGCACACATATATATATACACATATATATATAGAGAGAGAGAGAAAGAGACGAGGAAGACAAGTAGGGGTTGACTCGCCACGCGTTCGTTTGCAGCACCAGCGAATCAATATTTGGAGGGTAGGCGTCCCGACGTGCAGCGTCGAAGCTACGAACCGTGAGTCACTCACCCCTGGCAGAGAAAGGGAGAAGAATGACTTCTCTTTTTTTCCCTTCCCTTCTCCCGTCTCCATTCTACTCGAGCTAGATGCGTTCATGAGCGTCACGCGCATACGTTCGAGACTCCAAAGTACATACTCTTTCGTGGTGAAGCGTAAAGCGCTTCAATCTCGACTCAATTGTTCTCTCCTCTCTTTTTCTCTTTCATTCTATTCATTTTTTCTCTCTCGTTAAGAGACTTTCATCGATCGGCTAGAGACTTGTTATTCTTTCACTAGAGGAAAATTTATTTAGAAAATTAATTTCTATTCGTTTTTTTTTAACCGAAGTATATTTGTTGTAACAAACTAAATGTTAGATACATGAAATGTTGTAGAATGAAATCGATCGCAATATCTCAAATCTTATCTCATATTTATATAAACATAAAAACTTTCAAGATTTATTAAATGGGATTAAAATGGAAACTGCTTTGCGACTAGGTACGATCTGTAAGCGTATTATTTATGAATTATTACGAGATACACGATAAGTATGAACGATCGACATACTGAACATGGAGGCTTAGAGGATGAAGTAATCGAATGAAATAAAATAAAAAGATATTATGCTGGTCCGACAACATCTTGACAGATAAAAATAAGACTTCAAAAAGTTAATTCAACTTTTCTTTAATTCTTTTTTTTTTTTTTTATTCAAGTACGTTCGATACAATTCATAATCAACGATTTACTCAATGATAATATTTATTTGTTCGTATTGATTAACAATTGAATGATTAATTACACCGATGTCGTCAATTATATATATTTAATCATATTCTATTTTTTAATATCGATCCAGGGGATATCTTTTTCATTTAGCCTCGGAAAACAAATTTTAATTAAGATATTACGAATTTTCGGATTCCCTGGTTAGGCTTGTAACGATGAAACGTTAATTTACGAGCTTTAAAGGCGTCTCGTATGCGTACGAGCATGAAATGTATGCATCTAAGTAAACCCGTTTGAGAAAGAGAAAGAGAAAGAAAGAGAGAAGATGGAGTCTCTCTCAGTGGGAACAGGTTCCATAAAATTGAACGTTCTTCCGTGAAACCTTTATCCGCGGCAGGCATCTCGTCCATGGTACAGTTGCGACTGATACGGCGTACAGAACGCACACGAGTTCCTTTCAAGTTTCCTTTACAACAAGGAGCATCATTGAACCCTTGGCAAACGTCTTGAATCCTCGTTGGATTACTTGGTTGAAGATCAGTCCAGATCTTCTTCATTTATTGTATCTATTTCATCCAAACGATTCCATTTAACATCTTTTCATCTTTGTTTTTATTAAAATAATTTCATATCATTTGCATTTTTAAGGAGCTTATAAAAAATGTAAAAATGTAAGGGACATAAATTAGGCTGTTAATTAGAATTAATAAATGTTAGTAAAAAATGCCCATTTATATATTTATATAATTATTTTTTATGACGATCAAAAGGTATTTATTTATAAAACTATTTATAGGAAAGATGAAAGATACATTAACATTAAGGAAGCCATTTGATTGCGGAGGAAATCGAAGAAGAAATGAAAGGAGAGGACAAAAAGAGATAGATAAAAAGATATTCGTTAATATCGTCGTTTTAATTCGATTACGGAAGCCTTATTACTCGGATTTCGATGAAATCCAAAGAGAGTTTATTTCTTCATAGATTGAAAGACTAGCATTCTATGTGATCGTTAAAATATCTCTCTAGATATTTAAGTCATATTCAATATATTACATTTTTTTCGTTTAATATCTTTTTCCTTTTTTTTTTTTTTTTTTTCTTTTATGCACCAAGTATAGAATTAGAGGATTTAGAGTTGGAAAGTTCAGCTTGAAATACCAACGTCATTGATAAATTGCAAATCTTTTTTACTTAAAGTTAAAATGAGCGTGTTATTAACATGACCACTTATGCTCGATCCTAATCTCGTCTAAGAA